GAGGCCTGAAAGGCCTATGAAGCGGTATATAAGTCTACTGCTATTGCTATTGCTTGGTAACCCTCAAAACAGATGAAGAGGAAGCTTTGAAATATGTTATGAATCATGCTTTGGCTCTTTGATCCATAAAGAATGATAGCTGGGAGTATTTTTAATTCTCAGTTCAAGAAAGCAGGAGAAGTGTGCCGGGCAACAAAGGATGACTGTGACTTGCCTGAACATTGCACTGGCCAAACTGCGGAGTGTCCCATAGATCACTTCCACAAGAATGGACACCCATGCCGAAACAACTTGGGTTACTGCATCAAGGGGATTTGTCCCACATTGGCTGACCAATGTATTGCTCTCTTTGGACCAGGTAAGTCAACCTTAGGATTTCAGAATAGTGGTGTTATAAAAAACTAAGATAGTTGTTGTTGATGAATTATATTTTTCTCTTGGTGTAGCCATAGTAAATAATGATTACATTTTTGTTCTCTTTGTGTTTTGTGAAGATGAAAATTTTTTTCAAGATGAAGTTCTTTCTTTTGAGGCTTTAGTGCTCAGTCCTCCAGATACGTATTTTGGTTTAAAACTTTAGCCATCCCTAGAGAACATGGCCAATGGTCCAAGATGATGGCAGTTGTAACTAGAAATCTGGAGAGATTGACTTTGGGAAAAGGATGTTTTTGTGGGTTGTGCATACATTCCCAAATCAGACAAAGATCTGAGACAATATGTGTATGAAATGTATATGTGTATACACCATAAATAGACTGCTATGTTGTATATAATAGCAGCAGCCCAAAATTATTGTCCAATACCGTACTCTTTGTTTTAAATCAACGGGTATTGTGAAGTAAGCCAATACTACTGGAAAAGAACTAAGAATAATGTCAAGAATCTTTCATATGCTTAGAGTTTTGTCCATCTAACTTTGTTCTTCTAAGAGATAATCAGAGCCACTGATTGATCCATCACTTTCCACTTTTCTCAATCCAAAATCATGGAGCTTGAACATAGCACTGTTTGCTAAGAGTATTAAAACTCTGGGTTTGAAATTTTCTTTACATTTGGTATAATAAAACAGGCATTGGGAGATGTGATTCTTGTCAGTGATACAGGGAGATATACAGTATATTTAACATAAATGGATGGTGCAGTGAGACTTTGCATATAAATTAAAGAATGTCTCAAGTAGAGGTTTTGGGTCATTAATTAAAAGGATCAGGTGGCACCTGGTGGTGATTGGGAATCCTGCTGGCAGGTAACACACTCAGGTATTTGTTTTGGTTCTTCACTCCCCTCTACAGATGCAAAAGTGGCTCCAGATGAATGTTTTGAGAATAACCAGAAAGGAGATGACATTAACTACTGCAAAAAACAAAATGAAACAAAAATTCCATGTGAACCACAGTAAGCATTCTAAATTATTTCCTGCTATGATGAAGATATCATTTAAGGATAATATAAGAAATGTTTTCAGGTCCACATCTATGAGAACCTGATTCTATCACCACGCAAAAACAACAGAAGTGTGAGCCAATTTCTGAATGACTAATTTTCTTTCATTTTCCATCTTGGGTTACAAGATACAGCAAAAATGGGGTGTAAAAGGAGAGCCATGGGAATCAAAGTGCCATTTAAAAGATTGTATCAGAAAGTGCAATTTCTTGAGTTACAACCACTATTTAGCAACTTAAAAATTACAACAACACTGAAAGAAGTGTCTTAAAACTAATCCTTCCACTTACAAGTCTTGCAGCAACTCTATTGTCATGTGATCAAAATTAAGGTGCTTGTCAATCAAAATGTATTTACAATGATGTCCAACTTTTCCTGCCAGCATCCAACAAAGTCAAGGGAATGTCAGATTTGTTTAACAACTGTGTGATTCATTTAACAACTGTAGTGAGTCACTAAATAACCATGGTAGAAACATCGTAAAACCAGGTGCAACTCACTTAACAACATCCTTGCTTAGCAATGGGAATTCTAGATCCTGTAATAGTGATAACCTCATATGGGGGTGGGGGAAATACGTTCCATAAGGCAGGAGCAACAGCAGAGAAGACCCTCTTCCTGGACACTGGTCAGCTGGAATAATCAGGCTGATAGGACCCACAGCATGCCTCTGCTGGCACATGTGGGGCATGCCAATCCCAGGGGGATGAGATGATCCATCAAGTACACCAAGCTTGCCTTCAGAAATTGTGGGCGCTCCATCACTGGAGTTCTTAAGAAGAGACTGGATACTCACTTGTCTGAGATGGTATAGGTTCTCCTGCTTGAGCAGGGGACTGGACTAGAAGACCTCCAAGGTCCCTTTTAGCTCTATTCTATTCTAACAATTCTTAAGTAACCTGGACCCATATGCTATGGTGGGGTTTAGAGGTGATCACCAACCCCTTGAATTGCATCCAGAAGCAGACAGGAAATCAATACAGCTATTGCCAATAGAGCACAGGTAATACAGGGGCCACCTTTGGGGCCCTCAAAACTGCCCACACTGCTGCACTCTGCATTAGCTGTAGCCTCTGAATGCTCTCCAAGAGTAGCCCCATGTAGAGTGCATTAGTCTAACCATGAGGTGCCTAGGGACTGACAACTGATCACAGACAGTCTTGATCAAGGAAAGGCCACAATTGGTGTACAACCCAAAGTTGTGCAGAAACACCCCATCCAGAGTAAAAAATGACAGAATCTCAGATCCCAAAGTCCCATGTATCCAAAAGACATTTGGTCCTCCAAGGGTACAGTTGAAGCCTGTTGTTCCTGATCCGGACCCGCACTGCCTCCACGCACCTCAAGAGGGTGGACACATCATCATTTGAGTCAACAAGAATGGGGATATAAAATTGATCATCTTTGGTATACTGTAGACCCCGCAACCCGTGGTGATGGATGATCTTGTCTAGACGTTTCATGTAGATATTGAAAAGGAGTGGCAAGAGTACTATGCTCTCACACACCACAAAATAGCACTGGATGGTTGTACTTCTCACTACTTATCAATACTGATTGGGACTGGCCATGGGGAAAGTAGGTGAACAAGTGCAGAAGTGTGCTGCCCATCCCCAGTCCCTGGAGCTGACCCAAAGGATACCAGAGATGATGATATTGAAAGCCACCGAGAGATCAAGGAAAGCAAGGATGGTTGATCATCGACAAGTGTGACCAATGCAACATCCAACCCATACCCAGGCCTGAATCCTAATGGAAAAGGGTCAAGGAAATCCATTTCATCCACGACCCTCTGCAGCTTCCAGGCCACCCCATTTTCTACAACCATCCCTAAGAATGGAAGGTTGAAAACTAAGTGAAAATTGTCCAGGAAGGTGGGGTCCGGTGATGGTTTTTTAAGGAGGTGAACCAGAGCTTCCTTAAAAGCATCCAGAATTGTCCCCTCCTCCAGTGACATATTAATCATTGACTGGACCCACCCTCTTGGAAGCTTTCACCATCCAAGAGGGACACTGATTTAACTGACAGGCGGTGGCACTGAGAGCACTTCATCAGGGCTAGCAGATGAAAACATTCCTAGATAACTGGGCAAGATCTCTTCTCAGGCATCTCACAGGGACTATCTTCAGACGTTGGATCCAACTGGGAACTGATCGAAGCAACTTTGTCCATAGGTACTGAACAAACTCCTCTGCCTGGCCCTGTAAAAGATCACCCAAGCCTCCCTGACTCAGGAGGGAACAAGTGTCCAGAAACAGGGCCAATGGGAAGCACTCTGAGGACATAATAAGAGCAGAGAAATGCTGCTGTTTCACTCCTCTTATTGTCCCGAGATATGCTTCAATAGTGGTTCTAAGTCCTTTCCGGTTGGAGTCATTCATTTTCTTCCTCTAGAGGGTCTCTAGGCATCTCTTGGCCCCCCTTCAGAACTCATAGTTCTTCCATGAACCACAGTGATGGGTGCAATTCTGTCCAAAACTACAACCACCCTCAGATTCCAGGCTGCCACCATGGCTTCAGCAGGCCATGCAGCAACATTTCTGGGTTATTCCCTACTTCCCTCTGGAACCCATCAGGATCCATCAGTCACCAGTTGCAAATGAGTCTAGCCTCCCTGTGATGAGGGGCAGCATATGAGAGCCTTAAGGATATGAATAGTGAATTGTACTCAGTCATAAACCATGACTTGGAAAACACAATGGTGAGATTTGCATTACAAATTGAACCAAATCCAAACAATAAGCTATCTCATCTTTTGGTGATGCGTACAAATTCACACTGCTTCTAGCTCTTATACAAACACCCAGAATCCCATGCCATTTTTTCCTACTAAAAGAAGGGCAGTCCTTATTTTATACATTGGAATGTTACTTTCTTTTTTCCCTCATAGTTTTATTAATTTGAAATTGAATAATAGCCATTTATTTAGGATAATTTCCCTCTCTTATGTTTAGTGCAATTGCCCCGACCTTTAGATTTCAATTCAACTCACCCCTCTCATTCACTAGTCACAGATTGTGGGAAATTTAGACTAGAGATCTGGAAAAATCAAGCCTCCTAAATAGGCTTTAGGAGTTTTCTACATGGATAAGAGATACATTACTACTCTGAAGATAAGAATCCTGAGTCAAACTATCTTCACCTTCATAAACAGGGAAATCATATGATCTAGCAGAAGATACAGAAACTGTGTTCATCTAATTTCCCCCAAAACCTTGAAACAGCTTGTGAGATTTTTCATTCACCTGTTAAAGGCAACCAATTCATTTTGAGACTGAGCAAGCTTTTGATTCTTCATCTCAGGTTTTAATTTTTAATTTAAATATTTCCAAATAAGCAAAGAAACAAAACAGACCTCTTTTAAACCACTCTTTTTAATTATAAGGAATTGATCTTTTTTCAGGGATGTAAAATGTGGGAGATTATACTGCACAGTTGATTCAACTGATGAGAATTCATGTAAATACCACTTTTCAAAAGGAAACCCAAATAATGGAATGGTTTATATTGGAACAAAGTGTGCAGAAGGAAAGGTTAGTAAAAGATTATCTCTTATCTGTCTGCTGGAAGATCTGATTCCAAGAAGTAATCATTGAAATAGTTTTGCAATAGATCTTGTTGAAAGCTAGTTTAGATTTTCTTTCTTTCTTTCTTTCTTTCTTTCTTTCTTTCTTTCTTTCTTTCTTTCTTTCTTTCTTTCTTTTTGTTCTATTTTTATTTTATTTTTTTAAAAAGTTAACATACAGAACACCAAAACTTTTTTAAAAAAATAACAAACAAATGAAGAAAAAATTGAAATAAGACATTAAAAAGTGCATTAAAAAATAAAAAGCTATCACATATACGCATATTATCCCCTCATATGAACACTGATTAATTACTGTAACATTAATTTCCCATCTTTTGAGAAACAGGTCCCAGCATTTTTTGAACTACTAAATCTATTTGGGAATTATTAACTTGTCATCTTCATACCATATTAATAAGAAAATAATTAACAAGAAGAACAATAATGGTAAAAATGGCTGTTACAACTGTTATTGTAATCAACTCATAGAAAATTTATCACAGCATCTTATCTACCCAAAATTGTCCCATGAGTTAACAATGATTCATCCTTGATCAAATATTCATGTTTTTTAATGCCATCTCTTATCAACCATTGTTTGGTTAAATATAATAAATCCAGTGTCCAAAGTCAGTTTATCTTCTCAAAAAATTCCCGATGAAACTGTTTTCCAGTGAAGTATAACAAATCCATTCCCGAATCTCTTTCAATCCTCCTAGGGAAAACCAATTTATCACTTCTGCACTTAGTCAGATTTCCACTGTTGTAAAAAGATTCAGAGTTCAACTTCAGGGAGACATGCAATGAATTCATTTCTAAATCTGTAGAGTCCACATTTCTTTCCCACAAAATTGCTGCTTTGAAATTACATTCCTTTTGTGAATCTAATTTATCCAAAGTTACATGGTCCTGGATATTTTCTGAAGCCATTACTATTTCATCAAACTTTAAGAAAAAGCTTTCAACTAAAGATTGTGTGTTAAAAATCTTTTTTCATATATTTTTTTCATATTTTTGCTTGTCTGTAATCTGATACATTGTTGCTTTGTTTAATTTAGCAATGATAGTTAGGAGAGCACAAAGAATGTTGAAATAAAGTGAAAAAATAGATAAAGAAGCAGGGAATGTATTTTCAATCCAAAGTTAAAATAAACATAAATAAAATATTTTTTTAAAAAAATCAAAATATATTGTAAATTAATAAACCTGTGGTGAGAGACTAGCATAAATGAAAATCGAATGAAAATATTTTCATT